TCAAACCTAACCTCCAAACTTTCGAGTTGTCCATACTCTCCCTTTAAAGGTACTCTAAACCGGTTCACACGACTGGTTTACTCGACGCATTCTAATCCCTCCGGGCCGAATCCTCACGGCACCTATTAGCGCGTGAGGGCGCGAGCTCCTTCTAGGATTTGGCGACAGTGGTGAACACGCTCTGGGGTGTGACAGTAATTGAGTTTGAGCAGATTACTCTCTCGAATGCATCGAACTCGGGCGAGCCGCGAGCTCCCCGCCTTTAAGCCGCTAACGCTCCGTCCTCCTCCTCCCGACACCTTCTCAAATAAATTATTTCCCTCCTAGACGAGNGTGTGGGGGGGGGGGGGGGGGCGAAGTTCGATTCTCTGACTCCGGATCCGGAAGCGTGCGGGAGACGAGTTTCAAGGAAAATTAACGAGGTTAGAGGTGCAACTCGCAAGACGCTTTTTTCCACCGAGAAAGAAGGAGGTTGTATGAGGACTTATCGGATTATGGAGCCCAACGAACTATACCCATGGAACGGCCGACTGATGCTCGGACTCCGTATTGTTTTATGCCGCATTCACACGCTGAATAGACGCTATTAGTGCCACGTCACAGTCGGTATCGATTGTATCGAACTGGATCCAAACAATCAAGCATAACCTTACTGTTCAACATCAAACTAAAGAATTTTAGAGATAATTCGCCCAGTTTGAGAAAAAAGTTGTGTTAGAGACAGCTTTTTTAATCACGAAACGTTCCCATATTGTTGAGTTGACGGGATAAAGCAGTTTCAGAAAGGTGAAAATACCCACGAGGGCCACCATGATTTAGGCCACTCCTATGCCACTCCTGTTTCTTGGCTTTTGACAGTGAAATTCTGGGAGGGAGGTGTCAAGATGAGGTTATGTTTGATTGTTTGGATCCAGTTCGATACAATCGATACCGACTGTGACGTGGCACTAATAGCGTCTATGTGGGAGCTGAATGTGGAAGTCATCGGCCCGATGCCTGAATTTTGCGCGTGACGCGCAAAATTCAGCAACGATTCTCAGCAACCACCGGACCAATTTTGAATTTGTTTGAACTATTCGAGTAGATTCGATACGCATCTGAATGAAAAGGACTCGAATTTGCTAAATTTCAGTCGTTGGACGATGGCTGTTGACTTCCACATTCAGCTACTAAATTCAGCGTGTGATTGCGGCGTGAGACATAAATGAATGGAGATGTTGCATGTGTGAGGAATTTTGGACTACCGCTCTCTTTTTGTTTGTGTTTTTATTGATTTATTTTGCGAGGAAAGCTCCGAATATTAATGGACGCCTGTCATTCTTGATACGTTCGAATGCCTTCAATTTCGTATGATACTGTGCAACACCTCTGCTTCGAAATAGTTGCTTCAAGCGCCGTTGCACGCTGCTGCAGCGCGGTGGGCGAGGACGACCAGCGTGACACGCGCTTTGGCGCCTACAAACCTACTTACTTCACGCATTGCGCAATGCGTGAAGTTTCCCAGTTAGGTTTGCAGGCGCCAGTGCGCGTATCGCGCTAGCAGCACGCTTCTCTGCTCGGTGTTTGACTCGAATACTTAGACTCGCGGAGTCAGCGTTTTTCAACTTATGATTTTTAAATGTTTGCACACTCCGCATGGATTATTCTCATTTAAATTGATTTTTAAAGGAGGAAAAGATGTATTTAAGGAAGTTAAAATGAATGTTTTGTAAATATTAAGGTGGTTCAAATTTAATGATTTTCAAAGCACTTTATTTTTAATTAACCGGGAAATTTAAATTTCTCGTAACCAATGTAAAATGGAGATGTTGCATGTGTGAAGAATTTGCGATTTGACTATTGATTCTAATGTGAAAGTTCACGAGAAACACGATGGTGCCACCGGTTTTCTCTGTAATCAACTCCCAAGCTCAAAAAAAGCTCTCAAGTTGAGGCCAAAATGGAGAGATTATCCCACGTTATCCTAAAAGTCCACCTCTACATCAAGACAAACTCTCCATGCAAAGATAGGGAACAAATACATTGACAGGGCTGCCACTTTATTTGGGGACTCAAAAACTGAAAACTTGGAAAAATTGCTCTTTCTCGAAACCAGGGTTTTGGAACTGGAAAATTCAAACCGCCTTAGCTGCGATTAGCTTTTGGAATTTTTTAGGGGTTTTTTTGCCCGAAAATATACTTAAAACCCTCTTCTATGCTCTAGTTTTAAATTTCTTTTACACACGTTTAGTCCGTGTTTTTAAGATCCCGTCTTCCGTAAATAGCACCGTAACCGAGCAATAATTCCGTGGTATAAAAAAACGCAGCATGAATTTTCGGACGTTGTTGAATTCCCCCGATACAAAATATTTTTGAGGCAATGAAATATTTTCCCTGAAATTTTCAGATATTTTAGATTAAAAAGCAAGCATAATTCTCCAAAACATCGGAAGAAAAACATACACAAGTTTTCCTGAAAACCTTTATTTTATCAAAGGAAATTCGGCGACATCCGAAGGCTCATACGGCGCTCCTCTCGAGCTCAGCAAAAAACAAAGAATTTAATGGACATTTTCAGCGTTTGCTAACCAGAGAAGCGACATCTCGCAGCAGCGGTTAACGCTGAACACCGCCTCAAATATTTACAGTGCAGCACAACCTCGCAAATATACCCTCGCTCTTTGTGTACCGTGCGCGCGGAGTCATTTCACGGCCGAGACCTTGCGAAATGTTGAATGTTGACATTCGGCACTTTCCCTGGTGATCCTCCTCCACCCCCCCCCCCCCCCCCCCCCCCCCCCCCCCCCCCCCCCCCCCCCCCCCCCCCCCCCCCCCCCCCCCCCCCCCCCCCCCCCCCCCCCCACC